ATCCTGTCAGACTAGTCCTAAGCAGTCTGCCTTTTTAGGGCCGGTAAGTGAAACTTCAACAGAACCATACTCTGTCCGATTCAAAATCAAAACACTTTACGAACGTGAGTAACTTATACTGGAATTTAGTTTTAGAGGAAAACCAGAAAAGCCATTCTGACCTCGAAACGTCCTGTTTCAATACTTCCAGAAAGAAGTGTTTCAATTTTTTTAAAAAAAATGTGTTTATAATATTATGTATATCATAGTACAAAATGAAAAAGTCAAAATCTGAATGTTTTGATTGCTCCCCAAATGATTTTCTTTTTCCAGAATTTTCCTTCATGGAGAATTTAAAAAATGTTGGGTTTCATTCGGGTACAGAATGACACCAGATTTCGAAATCCTTTGTAAAACAACTTCCATCCTCCACACCAGTCTACCTCTTACTGTGGCATTACTGTTCTTTAGGCCGTTACTCCCTAAAATTGCCATGTTTCTATCTAGCTAAGGAACGGGCCTTAGAGGGAAAAGGAAAAAAAACAGCCCAGAGGGTTAAACAATATAAATGCTGGCAACATGAAAAGGAAATGGGATGTGACAATTCTCTTCCGGCTGAGGGTCAAAAATAGAACAAGGTTAGCTGGCAACGAATGAATTGTGCTCTATTTCTACCCTGTAGCCTGCTGAGACCCTTTTAGAGGAGAGGATGCGTCTCATCAGACCTTTCTCCCCACTTCCAGGGTATATTTTTATATTAACTCCATTACAGCTGGTTTGCCCCGAACAGCGCACACTCAGCTGTGGTTATAGCCCACCCTGAGGACGGACGGCAAATACACAGGGCGAGCCTGTATCCAGAAAACAGCAGTGGATGGATGGTATCTAATATCTGAAGCATCTTCCCAGGTGAATACAGATCAAGGAAGCTTAGGATGCAATTTAGCCACCTTCTGCCAGGTGCAGTCTTAGTGACTTCTTGTATCCCTTATGTAACCCACACACCTCCTGGATGTGGTGTTCTGGCCCATCTAGTGGCACTGAGACCACTTAGAGACAGATTAATGAGTCTCCTCTACAGCCTTAGCTAAAGTCCATGTGGCTTTTAGCTCATGCAGTAGAGGCTCATGCATTTAGCTTCAGAGGTCCCAGGTTCAATCCCACTCGCTGATGACCAGGGTCTTTCGGTATTACACTTACATATGATATTGTAGTAATGGGTCAAAACCCTGAAGTTCTTACTCGTTTTTTACTCAGGAAAAACTTTCACTGATTTCAGAGGGAGACTGTCCTGAGCAAGACCCTCACTACTTGACCCATTATTAATAAACTCCACATTTGCATCATTCCTTTTCTTCCAAAGAATCCCCAAAGCTCTGCAAAAGGGAACTGGCTTTATCCTGAAATACCACCATCTCTGGACCACGCAGCAGCCTCTTAACAACATGTGCAATGTTACACAATGGTTCAGGAAGAGAACAACATGGCACCCAGTTACAAAGGCAGGGGGGGAATTAGGTAGACAGAACACAGTTACTCACACTAGATTCTAACTGAGACTAACATCTTCACTCTGAGACTAAGTACCACCAGACCTTTAGTGACCACGAGTGGTCGGCACCTCAGCTTTAGCTCTTATCCAAAAGATGGTCTCTAACATCCTTAACGCCACATGGAGGCATATGTTCAGTACTGACCTCGGACGAAAGGGCAAACATCAGACCTGCAATAATTGGGATTTACCTGGAGATCTCCCATTCCCACTCTGATTAGGCCCAACTGGAGGTCTGAAGAGGTCACAGCCCAAGATGTCACAGCTGCACCTAACCACTGCCTAATTCTTCTAAGGGTTACTTGTTTTATAGGCATTTCAATGCAGAATCCATAGTTATCCTGCTGTCCAGTCTCCCTGGGACTTCTGGGCTTGTCCCAGTGTCTCTCTCTGTATGATCAGGCCTCCCCAATGCACCAGCCCTGTTTTAGACAGAGCAGATAGCACAGAAAATGAGTTGACCATCTTCAGCCCAGTGTAGTGGTGAGTAGGGATTGGGATGACTGTCCCACGTCTCTCTTGAGGGTGAAAACACTCTTTGACGCACAGAGCTGCTCTCTGCCAGTTTTCCTGCAGCGTTTCTGCTCTTCTACGTCTGTCTAAAACCACTAGCATCACCGTGCCCCAGTATTTTACCCACAATGCAGTGAATTATGCCACTGCCCTTTTCATTCTTACAGGGCTTCATGCTCCCTCTCAGCCTTATATTAGCCTCTGAGTGAAGCCTGGGCCAGAGTTTCTCTCCAGAGGCCACTTTAAAGTTTCCCCAAGGATGCTAGTGTGCTCTTTCAGGTCTAGTTAAACACTAACTTCTTCAGGGCCACTAATTCTTGCTGGTTCTTGGGACAGCTGCTTAGGACAGATTCCATGGAGGAGCTAGGACTGGAGCACCCTCAGCTCCCACGGACTTCACTGAGAGCTGAGGGTTCTTAGTACGTTGTTGCAGGTGGGGCTCAGCGTTTCACAGGCTCAGGACCCTCGGGAATAAAGTATGGGACGGCTCTCTCTGCTCTTTGGCCTCTCTTCATAAGCCGGAGAGTTGAAGCCGTTCACCTTCCCTCACCGTGATTCTGCATGAAACCTACTGATTTTAAAAAAAAACACGCACTTTTTATCGTGGAGTTTATTAGAGCTGGTTGGACTTTTTTTTTCTTTTTTTCGGCAGAAAATGAGTCAGGTACTCCAGCTAGTGAACCCAGCCAGAGAGGAGAACAGAGCCATGAGACAGCCCAGGAGGCACCCTGGGGACATTTCCAGGTAGAAATATTTTTTGGTTTCAGGTTAGTGTTTTGTCAAAAAGTTGACATTTACCACAGAATGCCGATACTGTTCTCAAAAGTTTCAAAGGCACAGTTTTCCTTAAACCATTTTTACAGAAAATTTTCAACTTCCTTTAGATACTATTAAAAGGACACGGCTCCTTTCAGCTGTGTGGCTTTCCAGTCCCTTTTGTCTCTTCCCCCTCCACTGCCCTGCTCCCAACCCTTGCAAACTTTCAAACTTAGACTAATTCACCAGCCAACTCTCATATAAGTGCTGGATTCACCCTGGCTTATTGCCTTCCTAGCATGGCAAGCCATTCATTGGGCTTATGCTCAGGGGCTGTCTCCTCTACAATCAGCCTTCCCTACCTCTTCAGCAATACCACAGTGAGTCTTTGTGACATCACAGTACATTCCACAGAAGTTGCTGCATTGTCACTGTGGCGAACAAAGGAGGGACGTAGAGAGACTGACGTCTAGCAGGTCAAGTAGGCGCATAGGGGTCAAGATTCCTGAGTTCCACTGCTGCTGATTCTGCCGCTGACTTTCTCCGTGATGCTGGTGACTCCCTTAGGTCAACAGTTTTCCAACAGTGACTGCTGGTTTTGCAGCTTTCTGTTTTTGAGTGCGCAACCTGAGACACCCACAACTTCATTTTCAGGGGTGTGGAGCCCTTGCAGATCCCACTAACTACAGCTGGAATTTAGGATGCTCAGGACCTCTGAAAATCAGGCCCGCCGGCATTTCAAGCCACGTCCCCAAACACTCAGATTGCCAAAATCAGTGACCCACTTCTGAAAACAGTGGCTGTCACTGCTCCGTGCCTCAGTTTCCCCAGCTGTAAACTAACAGCCATCACCTCACAGGGGGGCTGGCAGACTCAGAGTATATCCAAACGGCAAAAACCACCCAGTGGCAGTGAGTCTCAGAGCTCAGGACAACTGACTCAGGCTCATGGTACCAGGCTAAAAATAGCAGTGTAGACATTTGGCAGCGTAGCATTTGTAGGCATCAGGGCTCTGACACCCCCTCTCCTCACTGGGTTTCAGAGCCCAGGCTCCAGCCTGAGCGGGAATCTCTACACAGCTATGTTTAGCCCCAGAGCACAAGCCCCTCAAGCCAGAGTCGGTTGACCTGGGCTCTGAGACTCACTGCTTTGGGGTTGGTTTTGCGAGGCAGATGTACCCCAAATGTTTGTAAAATGCTTTGAGATTCTTGGGGAAAGGGACTAGAAAACGGCAATGCATCACTGCTAATAAATGGCCAGGAGGAGAGCGCTAATTGGGAAGGAGCCTGCTCTCGTGAGCGCACAAACACCAGAACAATTAACAACAATTAAAAACACAGGGGGGGAATTACGCAGCTCCTCAATTACATTCTAGTGAAATGTAGCTTTTCAAGCTCTCGGGGGCACTTTAAAGACTCTCGGCTTATAGCATTTCTCCTGCTTGTGTGAAAACAGAGAAGCGGAGCTGCTCATCTAGGATCCAAACCTGTTCTCATTGAAATCTCCCACTGCTTGCTGTAGGAGCAGGACTGGACGGCCAGCAGCTGGGTCTGGGGGGCAGAACAGGCGTAGAGCATTTCGAAATACAGTGGCCGTGAGCAGCATCGTTTACAGCAAGCTGAGCTTCCCTTCTGGAAGGTTTGGGTTGTAATAATAAAAGATTTAGCTCTTATATGGCATCTTTTATGAACAAAGCTCAAAGCACTGTACTAGGAGGGCCAATATCATTGGCTTCTTTTTACAGATGGGGAAACTGAGGCACCGAACTCTGCCTAAGGTCAGGCAGCATGTCAGTGGCAGAACCAGGAATAGGAGCCAGGTGTGCCGTATACCTGTCCAGTGCCCAAGCTGGTATACCACATCGCTAGCTCCGGTGTCCGTGGAATTTTATTTCCCTGTCCCTTTGTCCTCTTCCAATCTCCTTTTTCTCCCCTTTCCGTTCTCCCATGCTTCCTGCCCGCTTCTTGTTTTCTCCCCCACGCATCTGTCCTCCTCTTACTTCCATTTCCCTCTCCCACATTTTCTCTCTTTTCCCTTTCTAGCTGTCATTCTCTTTCCCTCCTCCTCTCTCCTGACCATCAAGCCTTAGTGGGCAATAGGTCTGTGACCTGGAGAAGGCTCTAACCTGACCCCATCAAACCCATCTGACTTGTGTCACCATAACCTATACCAAAGGTAAAAAATGTACGTAAGTACTTACCAGTCCACCTGGACTTCTATATCTCTTGTCTCCACCTTGGTTGGCGCGTCTCCGTTGAGTTCCTTACTGCCGCTCTTCAGGAGTTTCAGGACTGGCTCTATTTCTTTTAGCAGCTCATTGTTTTCGACCCCACCGTTGAGGCAAGGATTGGCACTGGCATTGTCCCTTCCCTTCAAAGAGTCCTCGCCTTTGGTGCTGGTAACCACACCATTGACGTGCACAAGGGACTCTGCTTCCTGCCGGTTCTCCCTGGCCCAGGCTGAACTAGCCGAGCCCATGGTATGGTCTGCACCCTGCTGCAGATCTCTGCCGTGGATGCTTGGATTGGACAAGTCGACCGCTTTGGCAGTTGGGCACAAAGGTCTGGTTACTCTAACAGTCTTTGGCATCCCATCCCCGGCAAAGGTGGTCTCCAGATGAGTGGTGAAGCCCTCGGGACCTCTCAGGATCAGAACCACATAGGTCTCTGAGGCGATGCTCCTCAGGATCTCCAGGGCACTCTCATAGCTCATGTCCACCAGGGGCCGGCCATTGACTGCCAGGATAATGTCCCCAGCCTGGATGAGCCCACTTTGCTCAGCTGCCCCTCCCCGGATCAGGTCGGAGATGATTACTGGGGGCTTGTTGACGCGTTCCTTCACCAGGAACCCGAGACCCCCAACCTTGCGCTTGAAGAGTCTCACGGAAATGACATTGGGCTGTATCTGCTGCACACTGAACACATTCTCTTCCATTGTAGCCCTTGGTCTTCTAGCCTGCAGCCCAAGCCCTCTAGACCCACTGAGCACAGGCTAGCCCACCGCTGAGCAGAGAGACTAGCGGCTGAGAAGAGAGCACAGCTTCTCTCTGCTTGCAAGGAGGAACTTGTTGGCTCTGGAATGACTTGCCTTGTGGCAAAATCTGCAGAGCATCAGTCGTTGCACATCAGTTCCAGCTCTGTCTTCGCCAGCATAATTTCATTCATTCATTCCTCCCTCCTCTCTCTCTCTCTTTTGTACGGTAATGACGCCAGCAGCCCAGATAACCTTCACTGGGACAGCAAGAGTGTGTCACCCACAGAAGGCTGGGCTGGCGGGAGCAGGCACAGAACTAGGCATCTCTCTGCTGAAGAGGGTCACAGGGACAAAACATTAGAGAGGAGACATGACAGGCCTCGAACCATCCCTTGATCTTGTGCTTGGGAACTGGCTCACTTCACAGACATTTCCGCGGACTAGTTTTTAGGCTCTGAATGGATCTTGAACTTCTCTGTCTGTAAAGGGGGATTAAAAAAAAAAGAGAGAGAGAAAGAGAGAGAAAGACATGAGCGTGGACAGAGCTAAGTACGGGCCGCAGAGAGAGATCTGAATGACTTAGACACCCTGATAAAAAACATTCAGCACAGAAACCCTCTCCAGAGCTGGGTTTCAAAGCCTGGCTGTACCCTGAAATCATCCCAAGCTCTATTTCCTCTGTCCCTCTGCAAACTCTCCCACTGTCTAGTTCTTCCAGCTTAACTAGAGCAGATGCGGAATAAAGTCCCGGTAAGGAAAATTTGGGGCCAATTCTTTGATTGGTGTAAATCAGCATAATTCCACTGGACTCTATGGAGCTACATTGATTTACACCAGCAAAGGCTCTGGCTGCTGTTCCACAAAGTATCTTCATGAGCCAAAGTCTGCCTGGCAGAGATGACCATAAAATGCTGCAGCTTCTCCCGTTGGTGTAGTTAATCCACCTCCGCGAGAGGCAGTGGCTATGTCGGCAGGAGAAGCCCAGTGCTATCTACGCTGGGGGCTAGGTTGGTATAACTGCGGTGCTCAGGGGTGTGGATTTATCCCGTAGTTATACCGATGTTAGTGTGTAGTGTAGACCTGGCCCCAGGAGCAACCTAATCACACGTTTTTTATTTAAACAAACAAAACAAAACAAAAATGTAAGGGAAACCTCAATATTAAAGTAATATGAACAAAATGTCAATTTCTTATTTGGGTTTTTATAAACTTGTTTGCACCTTATTAAATATATCGTCATAAGAACATCATAGAAAAAATGTTAAAAAAAAACAATTTATGCATAACGCTAACCAAACAATTTCAACAGGTTTCCACCTTTGTCTCCCAAACACAACCAAGTGTCATCAATTTAATACCCTCAAAATATTTGCATAAACCTGTATTTAAAATTCATTTTGGTTTCATTTTTATTCTCTTTTAAGTTCTGTTCAAGGAAAGCAGTGGTTAACGTCTGTGCCGCTAAACAGTTAACAAAAGTGAAATTGGTATCACAAGCAAATTAACTCTAAAAAGCTTGGGTAAAAATTCGAACATTACCTCTTCTGCTAAAACAAAGCTCAGCAAAGGAAAGCAATACACCTTCTCATAAAAAAATGTAAGCACCAGTTTAAGCAGTTAAACATTATATTTAGTACATAAAATATCAGTAATGCACCTCAAGTGAAAAATGAATGTCTATACCACAACTGCAAAAATATAGCTTGCGTTATAAAAAGCTTGGCCCCTATCGCATTGTAAACACACTGCGTTAATAAATGTATTAAATCTGGGTTACTAAAACCAAGAAAAATGTAAAACAAACAAAAAAACGTTAGGATGTTAACTAACTTAAGCTATTTAGGTTTGCATGCCACAGACCAACCCCCCTCCCAAAAATATCACACCCCAAAGACATCAGAAGATATCAATATACAGTAAAGAAACCCCCAAGCATCAAGAAAAGAAAAACAAAGTATAAATAAAAAACTGGTCAACTACACCTCAGTCTACCATATACACCTCTACCCCGATATAACGCGACCCGATATAACACGAATTCGGATAGAACGCAGTAAACAGGGCCGGCTTCAGGCACCAGACGAGAAAGCACGTGCCTGGGGTGGCACATTGTAAGGGGCGGCATTCCAGCCAATCTTGGGGCGGCACATTCCGGCCGCCCTGTCGTGGTGGTTTTTTTTTTTTGCTTTGGCAGCCCCCCCGGACTTTCGGCCGGCTCCCCGCGCTCTGCTCCCAGCCCGGCCCTGCAGGGGCACGGACCCCGCCCGGGGGGCAGGAACTAGCAATCCCCGCCGCTCACCATGCCTCCGGGCTCCCTGCGATGCGCCACTCCCCGCCGCCTGCACCGGCCTCTGATCCCCCGCCGCTCTGTGCCTGGCCCGGCCGAGCCGCCTTTAAAGGAGCGGCTGAGCCAGCACCTCCTGCAGCCCATGGGGGCTCCGCCTGCCCGGCTGGGAGAAACACCCCAAGGCGGGAGGGGGGAACCCCTCTTGCCTGGCTGTGAGTGGGCTGCAGCACCTGGCTGCCCACGAGCGGAGGGAGCGGGCGGGCGCCGCCCTTCACCCCCCTGTGAGCCGCCTTGGCCGCCCTCCACGCGCTCCCTGCA